ACTTTGTAATTATATATAATGTAACTGCTAATTCATAAGAACCTTGATGAATTATTTTAGTACCACTCAGCGTTATGTTTCATGCAGCTGCAGTTTGCCAGAACAGTGTTGAACCGTATAACACTCCTCAACGCAAAATGTTAGTTTAAAGCCATTCACTGTATGTATCACCTACGCAGTGCCTCATTGTCCCTGTAGTGTGTCAGCATGTCTGTTCTGTTGTGTTCCCCTGCAGCTGCACCAACAGGACAAATCCTTGTGCATTAGTTGTTTTAACACACAAAGCGGTTGTGAATTATAGCCAGTCACCCGGCGGTGCAGCATGCAGCCACTGGTTCCACTGCTGCAGAACTATGAGTAGTGCAAACCAGACTAGTGTAAACAAGACAAAGGCATACACAGTGTGACATTACGTTTATAACAGCTATAACCAGAGCAGTTACATATTCTGCCACAGTAGCAAGTCTCACTGCGAGGACAGTAGCATGGTGACACCGCTGATTTGGGCATGTGACAGTGAAAACATACAGGAGGCCTTATAGAGACTGCAATGCACAAGCTGGAGCTACTGGCTTCCAGACCTGTGGTGTTCAGCGCTTTCTTTGAGGAGTCTGGGCATTTCTTTTTAGGCATACATACAGTATTTGCTAAAGGAAAGTTAAGCTTTTGCACATATTATCTTGATTATAAGTCAACTGGTCTTCATTCACCTCTCCATCCACTATTTGATTTGGATGTTCATGGTCCCCAGAGGAAAATCCCTGATCATCTTTGTACCCCTGTGTCCTCGTTTGGATCGGTTCATAACTCTGTTTCACAAATTCTTCAGTCTAATGTGGTCCACCTCACAGATTAATGGTTTCCAAACATTTTATTAATTTCCCCAGATCAAAATAAGAACATAAAGAATGAGTAATGAACAAACCTAAACATCTGTTGGAATGCTACATGCACTGACAAATCTTGTGTAAGCAAATGTTATGCTCTATGCATTCTGTTTGTCATGATGTATCTATAGTATGAGCCATCCTGGTGTCATTAAATCACGGGGCCAATTTGGTAAAAAAGTCGATCTTGAAAAGTCAAAACAATATTTTTATGCTTTAAGAAAATGTTTTAATTCAACCTTGCATCAGTACTCCGGTGTCAACTACCTCCTGGGCCTGCTGTCATCTTTTCACTCAACACTTTACTTTTCCTCTGGAAAAGCAGAATGAACACAGTGTCACATAAAGTTTAAATTTTCATGATTTCAGAGGAACCAGTTTTGATTATTTACCAGCAGAAAGCTGGTAATCAAAACTGCCATCACAAGTTTTGAACAGGCATCACAAAGCAACCCAAGGCCGATAAATGACTCCACTTTGCTACAAAGAAAAATAAAGGCCAGATGGTGGTGGGGGGGGTGGAGGAAGAAATGAGAGATGGGAGCCATGAAAGAGGTTTAGAGATGGATGATGATGATGATGGAGCCAGAGGAAGGGTGGTAATGAGTGGAATATATCCAGAAATGCATGGATAGAGACATGAAAGGGGAGCACAGACAGCGAAACAGAAAAGGGACCTTGTGAGAAGGAAGAAGTGAGGTCCAAAGGAGTCGGGAGAGGGAAGGAGATAGAAACACAGGAAAAGAGGAGGAAAGGGGCTTATGGAGTTGTGGTGGTGGGGTGAGGAGGCGGGTGAGGTCAGGATTCCACCCTGTAGCCTCCCATGGTAATTTAAATTAGGTAGGGGTGGCGAGTGGGGGTGGGGGGCAGTGGCGCTGGAGGAAACAGGCGACATGATAATCAATTTGAGGCTGAATTGGAAACATGAGCCACTGTGGGGGGCTTGTTCCCCCTGCCAGGCCTCCAGATGGCCCCGGCCCCAACCCTGTGCTGGCCCTGTCAGAGCACACTGTATATGTGTGTACTTGAGAGACAATGTCATCTGCCTGGAGTGCAAAGGGAGTTCAGCAGATGTATCTTCTGTCACCAGGGGCACAGACAATACACTGTATGCATGTGTGTGTGAGAGAGAGTGGGGACTAACACCGTGTTGTGATTGGAGAAGAAAAATGGCTCCAACAATGCACACAGCCTCGAAGATATGTGAAGGTTTACGTAAGAAAGGCATAAATCATTCACATCATTCAGACATTAATCTTTACAAAGTGTCAAAACTTTATCTGACTTTTGTTTAGATTTCATGGAAAGCTGAACACACATCACACAGTGCACACGCTACCACTTTGTGACGATACTAGTGCATCCTCATGGCAGAAACAGAAGCTGTGGTTGTCTGGAAGGCAGCACAGACATCTTGTTTATATGAAAGCTTTATCATCGTCGTCATCATCATCATCATAGGTAGAGGAGACTGTTATCAGTGAGGTGGCGCCGCTGATGGCTGCCTCGGTTCTGGGCCTTGTGTGTGTAACATAATTGGCCAATAAAAGTGATCTTATTCTTAATCTTAATCTTTAGAACCTCTTTATGTGATGAGACCATTCCCATACATTCTGTATAGTCTCACAAAGCCAGAGTACATCAGGTGAGTTTTGTTAAAATGATGACATAATTTTCTGCTACTTGAATCTGACAAACCGTCAACAAAGAAGAGTTTACAGTCTGCAGGTGTCTGACATGTTTTTTACCTCATATATGTTCAGAATAGTTGATGCTTCGGGAGAATTGTCACGTAGACGGCAGCACAGCAAGGCACGGCCTCCCACAGTTGGTACCCCACGGGTTCTTGTACACATAAACATACAATATGGACGCACCATCGATCCAGCTCCTCTAAATGATTCAAATAATACTAAAGGAGCCGCACATAAACCCAGTGAAACACAAACCACGCTTAGCTGCTCAGTGAACAACTGCAGGGTTAACAGAACAGCCGGTTGGTCTGAGGCAGCTGAAAGAAAAAAATTAATCTATGAAGAGACTTGCATAGGGGTTACTGGTGCACATAAGGAGCCCTGTCTTTTGAATGCACAGCACCAAACTGCAACAGTAGAGCATGTGGAGGGTGTGGAGCAAAGGAGCCGGGACAAACAGAGCAGTCGAGAAAGGGAAGGACAAGATAGAGGAGGAAAAAGGGCAGCTGGCAGGAAAAGGTGAAAGTCCAGTAAGGTGGAACAGATCGAAGACAACAAGGGGAAGTAATGGAACGAACTGGGAATGAGTGTGGCAGCAGTGGCTTCCCTCTGATTCTCTAGTAGAAAACACAACATCCTCTCTGTCGCCTATTAATGCATCACCAGACCATCAACTCCGTATGGGTCCCTTTTAATCTCCCCCTTTTCTCTCAGCCCTTTCCTGGTTTTGATGTGTTGAAGTTTATTAGTTTGCTTGGCACAACATAACACAACACTCCATCAGATGATCGGTTTGTTGATTTGCTTACACTGATGCTGTATGCGTCTGCTGCCTACCCCCCCACTCCTTCATTACGTTAATCATGTTAGCCTTCTCTCGTTTTAATTGTTTGGGGGGGGGGTCATTTATACCAATGGGGAGAGAGGAGGAGAAGTCTATGAAAATGTTAATTAATAGTGGATGGAGGAGACCGCTGGCAGTTAGTGCAGGCTGACAGATGAGCAACAGGAGCTCTGCTGTGTGCACCGATACACATGTACACACTCATCGGTACACACAGATACGTACATGCCTAGTGAGCCAGCAGGGCCATGGAGATGAGGGCCACTGTCTGATTCAGGCCGAGCAAGAAGTGAGTTCACAAATACGGTCCTGTGTCTTTAGTTAGCATAAACACATGCACACAAATACACTTTCACAGATGCAGAAGTGACATAAAAACAAACATTTACATCAGCCAACAGATACAAACAGAAGAATGTGTTATCGACCAGTTTTGAGAAAGCTGCTGTTTCTCTGCCACCCTCACTCCCTCTCCCTTTATTCCTGTACACTGCTGTGGAAACGCTGAAGCCTGGGGAGTTGAATTCCTTTTATTTTGTGATGATTTGATCTGTAGGTGTATTCTTTATGTGCTGTATAGAGCCCCACTGAGTGGATTTTAGAGGCTGATATAGACAGAATATTAAAGATGGCAAAAGACCAGCTGTTGATATATAATTTTTACATAAACACAAATGATAACCAATTATCTTTAGTAAGGGTTGGGCCCGAGACTGGATTATCAACTGGGTAAACCAGGAAAATGTCCCAGGAAGCCAGACCCTGAGGGGTGTCTCAAAGCTCATTGTTATCAATTGGTTGTAAGTATTAAATTAATTGCTAATTTGTCAGGGAACTTGTGCCACTAAAGTAAAATATTAGGCAGGTCTTGCATTATTGACTAAGCCTATAGCCCAGCTGTGTGAAGGGCCATGTGTCAAAATGTGTTATTTAAATTGTTGTGTTTTTTTTGTCATGCTCATGTGGTTTTTCCTACAACAACTTGCCCTGGGATTCGTAGCAGGTTAATCCATTTGTTTGTTCATCAGTAAACAGGGTCTCTCAAAAATTGTAAACTAATTTCTGGGAACTTGGATGCAAAGTTAAGTTCAAGGAACATGTGATTAGTTTCCAAATATTTCTACTCACAAGGTCTGCTTACTTGTTTTTCTCTCGGCGTCCTCAGCAGATGGCGTTTGCTCAGGTGGCTGAGTTGTTATCACATGACCTAAGTCACCTTTTACCACTTGGAGTTCCATAGTTAAGTAACTTGAAATAAATCATCTGCATGAAAGCTGAACAAACTCCTTCTGCTGAGAAAGGCCAAGAATATGGATGAGATTTAAAAAAAAAAAGAAAAGAAAAATAAAACAAAGCTAATTTAAACTATTACTGGTTTCAAAAGTCAACTTGTTTTAATTTTTGCTGTGGATTTTTTATACATATATTTCAAAGATCTCATGACATAGTGATTGCATCTTCTTGGAAATGTTCACTTCTGCAAAAACTGATGGTAATCAAAATAACATGTGCACAGTTCTTACCCTTCTCTTGTTCCTTCTCTCCCCATGCCTCCTCCCTGCTCCTCGTCTGTAGGTGAGCCTGCAGTGGCCACGGAGAATAACTGTCTGAATGCTGCTAAGGCTTGCAACCTGAATGACACATGTAAGAAGTACCGCTCATCCTACATCAGTCCCTGCACCAGCCGCGTCTCCACTGCTGAAGTCTGCAACAAGAGGAAGTGTCACAAGGCTCTGCGGCAGTTCTTTGACAAGGCAAGGCACATCGGACATAAGCTTATCAAACGAATCAAACGAACCATCAAAAAAAAAAGCACAGACACTGGAGATTTTCCAAATGACTGATAAAAGATGAATGTCCACAAAGGACCTGCTTCAAAATCAAGAATGGTTGAAGAAGTAGAGAAGTTTGAGAGGAATATCAAAAATCAAAATGAATAATCATGTGGGCCTTTTTGTTTGGGGTTTGCTTCAGCAGCGCTGAGCTTTGTCATTGATTCAGTCATCAAACACAAAAAATGTTTTCATTGTCTGAGCCATAGCGTAAAAGATGATGTGAAACATTGTAATTACAGCCCAGCTCCTATGATGCTTCTTTGAAATAGCTTCACTGGGGCTGATTCAAGTAGGCAACACCATGAATAAATATCAAACTACAAAGAGTGCATGACATTGTTAATCTTAGTGTGTTGTGTCGTTTTGTTTTCTTCTTCCACAACAGGGAGTTCTCTGCGTGAACAGGCTTCAGCTTGGAGTTCTCATTGTGTTTGAGATAAAACTGCAATGACATTCTTTTATTGTAGCTCGACTGTGTGTTGTTACAGCCCTGCTACCGTCTACACAGTCACTGAACATAAACATTAGAATTTACTGATGTCATTCTGTTAAATAGCCAAGGACAAATTTAACATAACAGTTTTTAAAATTGTCCTTGTTTCATAGAAGAAGTTTTAAGCTTAGGCATTAGCTTAGTCAACAATAACTTTGTCTTTACCTTAATATTTGGTCTTTTTTTTTTTTTACCCACTGATCAATGCTAAATTAAGGGGTTGGAAGATCTTTTAATGAATAGCTACCATTAACTGAAATAACCACTGTGGGTAAGGAAAAATATGTCTCCATAACTTTAGAGCTCATCAACAAAACATCCGTAGAGACGAGGTCTCCGAGTGGGCGGAAGTGATGCCAAAACAGGACTGAAAATGAAGTGCTTGCAGATGTCTTTGCTTGTATAGTTAATGTGTGTGGTGGTCCTTGTGCCACACAGGTTCCTCCAAAGCACAGCTATGGCATGCTGTTCTGCTCATGTCCCCTCAGCGACCAGACTGCGTGCTCTGAACGCAGGCGTCAGACCATCGTCCCTGTCTGCTCGTATGAAGAAAAACAGAAACCCAACTGTTTCGAACTGCAGGCCTCCTGCAAGACCAACTACATCTGCAGGTCGGAAGCACCCTCAACACATTGTTTCCTTTGTTCATCAGACAGATGGTAGTAAAGAGATGACATACAAACTGGGGATGCTGTGCTCCATGGGTGACACAAGCACCAGGTCAGGCTACTCCATAGTCTGTTTTCCAAAGCTGATGCAAATCTATGTGCACTATGGTTAGTGTGAGTGACATTAAAGTTATGTTCAGTCTAACAGCAGGAAACTGCAGGGTCATCAGACAGAAATGCTCCAGGGTCAGTGTTTGCCACAGAGTAGTTTGTGATTTGCTTTTATCAATCAAAACTTTGTACTGCTGTGCTGAGCCTACTCTGTGAGGAGATGAGGAGGTAAAGGAGTAAATTATTTCCAGAAGTCTAAAATCCTGAGCTGGTCATTTGGTCTGACAACGCATTGACTACCACTGACTACCATTGACTAACCATACAGCAAGTCTTAAGCCTAACAAGTAATAATCTGCCTTTTATCCTCAAATGCGAGTCTTCACAATGTAATTAAAAGGGACACACTCATACAAACATGCCCCGTGGACACTTCCTGACACTGTGTAGTCACTGTAGTCACCAGCAGAGATAAATTGTCTGCCTTCACACACACGCACACACCGCACAGTAAAGCTGCAGGGCTCCTGTGTTTAGTAATTCAGTGATGGACATCTGACATCGCCCGTACTGGAGCCCAGGCTGCACTCTTATGACTGTCTGGTTTTAAATGGAGGCATCAGGCATCATAAACAAGCCCCATTTGGACTGTGGCCTCAGGTCTCCCTTTCTCACCCCTCTGTCCTCACCCCTCTGTCTCTACTTAACAGTGAGCAGCATGACAGTAGTGAATTCATACCACACGTTTCTGTTCTTACTTTCCTCTCTGTCTTTTTTCTTTCCGTGGTGCTTGTATCCATCAGACATATGCTCAGGGCAGAAAAACAGGTCTCACTACGCAGCGGCTTTGTCCCAGTCCATTTGTTAGTTAGCACGGATAGATTAAAGCCATGCATTTCCACAGACTCCCTCACCATATGTCAGGTGCAGTATAGTGGCTGTTGTTGACAACTCTCACTACACACTGCTCTGCTCTACTCATCACCAGATTGGAGTGATTAGACAGGTCATATTGTGAGAGAGTATACTATACAAGGACACCCCGACGCAGAGAGTCTCAGTGAGGTGCTGGGCCTCCACGTGCCACCAGAACAGCTTCACCTTGACTCTCCAAGTCTCTGAACTCTCCAGGAGGGATGAACACCGTTCTTCCAACAGATGTTCCCTCATGTGGGGTTTTGATGATGGTGGTGGAGACACTGTCTAACACGTCGCTCCAACATCTCCCATAGCTGTTCAACTGGTGACTGTGAAGGCCACAGCATCTGATTCACATCATGTTCATCCTCATCAAACCATTCCGTGACCCCTCGTGCCCTGTGGACGGGGGCGCGGTCATCCTGGAAGAGACCACTCAGTTATTCAAGCTTTTCCTTACATTTGCCGCTCATTTGTGAGGCGGTGTGTGTTTAGGTACAGTGCTTGCAACTATTTTTTGGTAGCAAGTTGTAACACTCTTGTTCAGATACAGGCATTTCATAAGTGTGTTTGTGGGGATTTTAACCACTAGTGCCACTATGGAGCAATAATCCTTAAGCAGGTTGCTGTTATAGTACATTCCTACTGAAATGAAGCAATGTGCCCATAAAGAGCAGAGGAGAAGAATTGTGACAGAAGGTTTTGCTTTGTGTCAAAGAGCCAGTACATCAGACCTAATATCACTTCAGATGTTCTTGGGAATCCAAACTCATTTCAGCCTCACATGCCAGTGCATGTGGCAGAAGTGTAAACAAACATTTGTGGATGCAGTAAATGAAACAGAACAGACTTGTTGGAGAATTGCCTTTGGCCTCATTCATGCCAGGATATAAAACAGCCACAGCATACATAAGAGTGTCATCTTACTCCACCGAAGGCAGCCATTAAGACAGCTAATTGCATTGCGAGAAATGACTTCCACCATACACTCGTCTGGACCGGGCATTTTGCTGGACATTCAGATGCACTGGCCATCTGAATTTCTCATATGAAATCTGTTGGAGCTGTAACCATGTTTGGCTCTAAAATATGTGTGTGTGTGTGTGTGTGTGTGTGTGTGTTGCAGGTCACGACTGGCTGACTTCTTTGTCAACTGCCAGCCAGAGCCGCGCTCTCTGTCAGGGTGTTTGAAGGAGAACTACGCAGACTGCCTCCTTGCATACTCGGGTCTAATTGGTATGTGTGATCGTTATTGGTTGGCCTCGTCTTGGCATTAACTCCAGGTCTCTGTGGATTGTTATTAATCTCTGTTAATGATGTCTTTAAAGTACAGTTCTGTTTTAGAGGTGAGATCTTATTTTTGTTGTTTGGGAACATGATTTCCATGGTGCAAGAAAGGTGAGTAGTCAGCTAAGTTATCTAAACCTGTTTATTGGAGGTAAAAACAAACGTGGGCACATCTGAATAGAAAGCTGGGGATTGATTTAGAGTACTGGAACCTCTGATATGTGTCTCAAAGTAAAAAGGTGAAAAGAGGATTCACAATCCACGGGAAGGTTGACAAAGGTTTGTTATCTTGGAATGACTGACATTCAGCCTGTGCTGACAGTGACCCATCAACTTTAACAGAGCTGGAGTGCAGAATACACAGAGGCTACATGAGAAACGAGCAGCCAGAACCATCTGACAAGTTGTATATATGTTTATATCAGTAAATAACACTAAGGAATTAACACCTGTTGTAACCTCAATCGCTACATGGACCCACCAAAGTGTCCTCATAACCCTTTACACTATGTCCTCACCACAACAGTAAGCAGTCAGTAGATGGTCCTCACAAGTCACTAAGCCAGACCACGTATACACGCACTGTCCACACAGCACCAATTCATTCTGCCTACTGCAAAACAAAAAGGCCTGTTTGGAGCACAGCCAGCGTGAGGGAACAATCCATTGGGGGAGTGAGAAATCACTGACTGAAGCTATTTACTTTCCTTAGCAGAGAGAAAGTCTATTCTTCAGTCCAGCCTCTCTGCATTCTGCTTCCTGCAGAAACTCCACCACACTGCACTCCACCTGTACATGGGGAGGAGGGACGGAGAAATAAGATTGAGGTTCCTTATTATAGCATTTATTAGTTTACACAAAAAGAGGATAACTGCCTCTTTCTGTTTGGCAGTCAGGAGGTTGTCCACAGCAACAGTTCACAGAGAATCCTGGTTTCTTTCTCAAACATACTGTAGGTAAATGTATGAGTGAAATCCACAAATCTTTTGTTCACCTGCTGCAGGTACGGTGATGACGCCCAACTACCTGCGCTCACCCAGAATCAGCGTCTCTCCCTACTGTGACTGCAGCAACAGCGGTAACAACAAGGACGAGTGTGATAAGTTCACCGAATTTTTCACTGAGAACACCTGCCTCCGTAAGTTAACCCTCCACACAGCGTCTGTCTGACCAGCTATTCATTCTACTCTTTTCTATTCTAGCTCAACCTTATCTGTTCTTCTGAGTCCTGCTCTGTTCCTATTTTCATCCACTCTGCTCTGCTGTTCTTTTAATGCTTTGCTTTTTTATCCCCTTTTCTTTCCCTGTCTCTCATCCTCATGGTCTCACCAAATATATCCCACTGCCATGCTTGCATTGTTATCCTTCAGCATTACAGAGAAAGTAGTCATACTGAATGTGTGTGAGCCTAAAAGCTGCAGCAGAACTCTTACTCCAGATCATTGACAGAAATGGCTTTTTCATCCAGCCCTTTTATACAGTGACTTTAATTAAAACACCCCTCGCACACACAGACACACACACACACACACACACACACACACACATTGTCTCTCTCTATCCCACTTACATACCTGAGACCTCACCTGTTTCCAGCTGAGATTAATAAGAATATCCCCACTGAACAAATCTCCTATTGAACCTTTAATTCATTTTCTCTTTTTCTCATTAGACAAAACAATGAATGTAGTCATTCAGATCACAGGACTTTTGTTTTTAACTGCTACTCTTGTTAGTACATCAGTAAACGGCACATTGTTACAGTAAGTCAATAAATGACTTGATTGATTAGTTGTTGTCTGAAAACCAGTTTGTCATCAGCCAAAAATCTGATATAAAGAATTACCACTCTTAGTTTGGACAGTTTGTCTTTGCAGTTCAACCAAACCACATTAACAGTGAGAAAGCCGATGTACAGTAGCTGTCATCTCCCATTTAGAGCTTCATTTACATTATGTCAGTAACTTGGAAATCAAAGGATCTGGATTTGATAAGCAGGTTTAGACGCTGGATTCAGGTTCAGTAACACGACACTGAACCCCACTAACTCTTCATGCATGTAAACAGCAGCTTGACAGTGAAATACAACCTCTTTCCTAAGACCAAACTAGTTCAACAGAGGTTTGTTAGTTGAGGTTTTGTTTGAGAACAGTTCTGAAGTTTTGAGGTGAAAGTTAGCTGGAGTGATGAACAGCTTACTCTAGTTCTTCCTTCACAAATCACTTCACTCTGTTTATTTACAGATTTTCAGCTGCCAAGGTGCACAGATGCTTCGCTAATGAATTAATTAGGCATTTGATTGATGAAGCAATCAAATGCAATGCACCTCTGTTAAGTAATCAATTGCCAGAAAATGGCATGTAATCAAACTAAAGAGCCACAGTCATGATAAGGGTGTGAGTTGATGCTTGTGGTTCAGATTTACACAAGCAAAGTGCGACTCTGAATGATGGTTACCAAATGAGAACAGCAGCAAGATGCAGCCTTGTTTTTAGAAACCAGCATCTCTGCTCTGTCCTCTGTTTACCAGTCAGGGTTAACGAGGTTGGTCTGCCGCAAATAATAACGCTGCTGCAATCAGTGTCTGTGTGTGTTTGAGCTTGCATGTGTGCACACGTCTGTATGTTTGCATGATTTTGTGTGTGTTTTAAGAGTTAAAAGAGATTAAAGAGGGTTAATGTGGGTCATTTTTCATTTGTGTTTATCCATAAAGTGAAAGTGAAGAGAAAAGTGGTGGAATACATCTGGTCTGACTCTCCTCCACTCTTACTCGACTGCCTTCTTTCTTCACCGTTGCAACCCTTCCTTGTCATCCTTGTGCTTGTGCTTCACCTCCCTTTTTTCTCTTCATCCCTTCTCGGTCTCCATCTCCTTCTTCTCATGCCCTCCCTCTTTCTGCTCTCATTAAGCTTGTTCAGCAGTAATTGGAACTGACAGCTCTGAGGATCCTGACACATGCCCGCTCTAGGGCCATGACTAGAGAGAAACTAAATGAGAGACAGAAAAGGAAAAGACAGCAAGAGAAAATCTAGAAAGACTGAGCAGTGATTTATTATGTTGGGAATCTGTGATGAATGACTGGCTCTTTATTTAGAATCCCACTATAAGTAGACATATTTAAACAGCATCCTATGACCATTTCAACCAGAAAAAGGACTTTTGCCAGTTTTATTTGGATAATAAGACTTGAAGTGGTAGACATCTAGTTTTATACAGAAAATAAAAATTAAAAACAAACAATATTAGAGGGCCTTTTTTCATTCTTCTTACCCGCCACTACTTTAATATTCTCATGAAGATAGTGGTGTTTTAATGTGCTCAGAGCTTTTTCGCTGTACTGCCTCCATATTTCCTGAATTTGTAGTGAATATGCAAAGGTCACACCATCCAATGTGAACATAATTCCAGTATTACAGCAGACCTTGCCCATGTAAAATGAGATACAGTGGTGATATAGACATCTGCTAAGACAAACATTTGCCTCAGTGGGAAGATGAAATCATGTTTGTTCAAATGGTGAAGGTTAACTGAATGTTTGGCTTAGTGGTTTAAAGATGTTTGCATTCTTGTTTTGTTAACTTTTGAGGACCAACTGGAGCTTTAGACCTTGACAGTGGGGTTATTTTAGAAATGTGACAACCCTGGTCAGTCACCTCAGGGACTGAAGGTTGGTTTTAGGGTTATGAAAAGGTAAGTAAGGATTGGTGTTGGGTTTGGGGTTGTTGTTGTTGCTGTCATTGTTGCTCTTGTTGTTCTGACCATTACATTTACAAGGCAAGACCTGATCTTGAACCAGGATGTTCAGTCACTGCTCTTTGTTCTAGTAAGTGGTGAAGAAATGCAACACAGTGGCATAGAAACCCACTGCCAACTAATGTTGTGGTGGTGTAATTCAGGGTGACACAGACACACCAGGCACAAGTATAAATTCTCACGGCATAGGCCTCTTGCCCAGCCTGCGGTGTAGGGTCCTACACAGGCGCAACACAGAACCATAAGTCAAGCTTAACGCAGCATTACCAGAGCTGATTGTGAGGTTTGGCAGTTTTCCATGTGTGTAAACTCTGTGTCAGGCTTTTGCTTCATGTTACGGGTCCCACAAAATGTGTAAGTGTGTGTCTGTTTGGAAGAGTACAGGTCCAGTACATTGTATCTATCTTGTACATTACAGTGTTTGTTCAATCTGCACTGACTGTGAGTCATTATGTATCCTGTGTAAACAGTAGCAGCAGTGCCATTTAGCCTGCAAATCTGTTGAGAAAAGGCATAAGCTCAACACCTTTTGGTTATACCATCAAATACACTCAAAGACTACTGCTTGCTCTAAAAGTAGTACTTTCATTTTCAGTTTCATCTGTGCAAATGGATTAATCTGTCAGGCTGCTCCTGACCAGTGGTTATGCCTGTGTCACCTGACTCTTGGTGAATAATATACTCATGTTCACTGTTATGATGACATTTCCAGTCACAGTGAAACATCATTACCATTATGTTTTAGCTTCCACTAAAGATAATGAGCCCAAGTTAGTTAGCTGCCTTACAAAGCTGCAGATCCAATGCAACTCTAATGTGATATAGTGTGCACAGTAAAGCTAAAAATGCTTTAGCAAACATAGATGTTTTAGAGACACTTTCTTTGTGTTGTAATTTTGGATTGACATGTAATCTACAAACAAACCCTAAAGTAAATGGTGTTTCTGTAGCTGACTGAAAACTGCATGGCTTCATCTCCAACCTCCCAAATAATATTCATCTGACTGGAAATAACATGTAGACCAGTGAACAGATAAACAGAGGTGTCAGACCAACACCAGACAGATTGCATTAAATATGCTTTATATGCAATATGTAAAAAGCAGGAATCCACTAATTACACATGCTCTCACACATAAGCAATAAATTAAATATGCATATACACATGTCACCTCGCGCACATATCAGGGTTACTTATTATGTGCTGTAATGTTAGGTTGCCTCTCAAATATAAATGTTGGTACATGTTAACAGCTTTTTTCTACAAATATATTGATGAAATAAAATAAGGAATTTAAAAAATAAAAGTAGCATCCATTAAAATTAAAAATGCTCGTTCATGTTAATTCCAGGGCTTGTCCCAATATTAGTGCTATCATTTCAGCCAGACACACACACATATGCACAGCACATTCATGGGGATATAAGACCTCAACTTAACCATCATAATGTACCAAAACATTATTCTCACGTTCAAATCTGTTGGCTTGTTTCTCCATTAATCTGGGCAGCAAACTGCTTTAATAACCTTTCTAGCTCTTTGGATTTTACTTATGAAAAGTCAATCTGTTTATATAATGGAAACAAAGCGTGATCAGTCCATCTGGTCTGGTCTTACCAGGGCTCAATTCAGCAAAGCAGATGAAGTGAGGGAGTCTCCGGTTCTGGTTAGTTCAAGATTAATAGTCGTGTTTATTAAATGTGCAGAGTGGAACTAACTAACTCAGAGGTTCTTCATCAATCATGCTTCACAGATTTCAGCATCTGGGGGATGAGGTTTGGATTTAAGTCTGCAAATCTGCTGACTTCAGACTGAGAAAATCCAAAGAGGTTTGCAACTTTATTGTTTACTCAACAAGTCGCTATATGAAAAAAAGTAAGAAGAAGAGTCATATGTGGGCAAAATATTTACTTTTGCCTCAGCACTAGTGACAGCCATGGTCGAACTGATTAGAATTTGGTGGTCACAGGTCCCAGTTTCATGAATGCTGGACAGACATGTGTAAACAGCAACTTGACTGGTTGGTGGAGGCAAACAGCTGATTCTAGTTTTATAATTGGCATGAAATTTGCCAAAATACAGTGTAAAGCAATAAAATGATCCAACAAGGTGAATATTTGTTATTTCAATGGGATTTAAGAGTAGTTATGCAGATCACCTCTCCCTCCCTTTTATATAGAACTAGGGTCATAATTTACTTTTGGAAGGAAGAAGATCATTATGTTCAAACAGTACAGCTCAGCCTTCCTCTGCTCTCTCTCTCTCTGTGTGTTGCATCAAAGCCATAGAAGGCTATTAATAGGGCCACTAATGGACTCTAATGGTAAATACCCACATCAGCACTTAGGTTTTTGACTGTGTGGTGAATTCATAATGGAGGGAAGTGATAACAAAACCTAAGTACCTTCTAACTCACCTTTAATTGTGGTTTAGGCTTGTGCATTATAAAGCTTTATTTTAACATGGGGACTAACAAGCATGTGATTCATGGTAAGATCCAGCCCGGTGCTAAAGAGATCTGCTTGGAATAACAATGTAGTATTTCTGGTGTGATAAAACTAATGCTTCACCAACTCATCTGTCATCCAGAGATGTGTTTGGAGCCTCTATGATCAGAAGAAGGATTATGAAAGATATTTCAGTCTGAGTCACTTGGTTAGTTTAAATCATAGCAGTTGTCAGTCGTTTACCTCCAGTCAGTTAGTACTTCCCATGTATTAGTTGTGGGGTTTTTTCATTTATTTCTTAATTATTGACTTCCTTTACTTCGTGTCTACCACCCACCTCCTCACAGTAGTAAAAAAAGTCATTTAGAAGTAACAAGGTCTGTCTCTCACCTTCTCTAAAGGTAACGCCATTCAGGCCTTTGGGAACGGGACCGATGTGGCAGTGTGGCAGCCAATGTCCCCCGTTCAGACGACCACCTCCACCACCACCCCCTACCAGAGGAACCGCGAACGCAACCCTAACACCTTCGACAACCAGATTAACACAGACCCCGTCTATAACTTCTGTAGCAGCCTACAGGTGAGACTTACACACAGGCTCCAGCCAGATTCTGTTCAGAAGGCTGCATGTTTCCAGCCAGGCTGCGACAGGTCAGATCCCATGACATGGAAACATTTCAAAATGTTTGTCTTTGTAGAAACACAGCTTTTTACAGATGGGTCAAGGTTAGTTGTTTATGTCTGACCTGCTGATCTTTGTACCCTCTGTCAGTCTCACCATCCATAACATATGCTGTACAGTATGCACAGTGTACATGTACTGCTGTTGTCATACTGAGTGCCTCTTCTTCCTCTTCCTCATTTCTTTTTACTTCTTGACTTTATCTAGTCTTAAATGCAAAACCAAAAACATCAACAGCAGACTCTGGCAAACAGCTTCTGATTAGCTGCATTTAAAAGTAACTGGTGGAGCAAGTGGAACATTTAGCAACTAAAGAAACAAATATTTTTCTCAGGAGTTGGCGGACACCAAAGCAGGCTTGAAATAGAAGGGAATATTAGACTTACAGCTCTGTGGGAACAACAAAAAGCAGCTGCTTGCTATGTGTGAGTTTGATTTGGAGACTAATATCTGAACACGTTAACCTGTAGTTATATGGAAAACCATAAATAAATCACTAATGATGCTGACAACCTGGGCAACTTTGTTGTTTGTTGTTGTCATTTTTGTTAATACAGCACATTAGGTAGCTCCACATTTTACTCATTAGTCTCATTAGTCAGCCAGCATAGCTGCAAAACATTTACTGAAAGTATTGGTATATTTATAAAAACCACTGATTACCTCTTTTTTCAGGATTCAGCAGTGTGTCGCACTAACTGTTGACGTGCCTGTGTGTAGACTGACCTGTGTACCTCACCTCTCTGTGCCCGATAACACTCTGAAACCCTCTGCTCAGCTGGAGCAGCTCCTCCTGCTCACCAGGAACAACAGTTATCTGGCTGATGAAACAGGGAATAGTTGCAGCAGATCAGAGCATCAGCGATCAGCTCCTCCCGGGTCAGGGAGGAAGTGAAGATAATACTGTCATTACCAGCAGAGTGATGACAGGGACTCAGAGACATTTCACCTGTAAATCATACTGCACCCCAACACAGCATCACTGAAGCTATTGTGTACAGGGACTTAGAGAAAATCCTTCCTTAATTGTTTCTTTTTCAAACAACAATCTCAGTCTCTGTTTATGTTCTTATTGTTTATGATACCTGACGCTGTTGTAGTCACCATGCACTATACAGAGTGCCCAACGGTTCAAAGTCTGGTTTGTCCTCCTACTGTATATTTTACAGCAGCATTAATTGTTTTTTGCTCTGTTAATTTTGCCAGAGTCACCATGCACTATACAGAGTGCCCAGCGTTTCAAAGTCTGGTTTGTCCTCCTGGTTGGCACTGTCACATCACAGCAGTGAGCTGAGGTTCGACCCTTGTGTCCAGCCGAGGTCTTTCTGTGGAGTTTGCATGTTCTCCTCGTGTTTGTGAGGGTTTCATCCGGGTACTGCAGCTTCCTCTCACAGTCCACTGACATGACATGACAACTCTAAACTGCTCGTAGGTGGAAATGGTTGTCTCTTTGTCCAGGGTGAAATTATATTTGATATTTTGTAATATAACAGAAAATTAGTATAGCTTTTGTAACTGACCTCAACTCATCCTCCAGCTTCTGAAATCAAACTTGTGTCCTGGAAAAACCTGTCAGTCAGGTTGTTAGCGATAAGCGGCTGCAGTGCTGTTTTGTTCGGTTCTTTGTTTAGAGTTGTTTCACAGACTGTGCCTTTGATTTTAACTGCTTTCACAAAAATAGGACTAGAATTAAAAGTTCACACATACAAACTCACAGTCCTGGAGATACAGTAGATTTAATTACACACTCGTGGCTGTAAACTTGCAGACACAAACACATACACATTCACATTCTGTGCTGATAATGAGCTTTGGTGGTGTACTTGTGTGTGTGTGTGTGTGTGTGTGTGTGTGTGTGTGTGTGTGTGTGTGTGCTCTGGTAGCACATCAAGTATAAGTTAATGAGAGTTGTTATATTAAACCACTTCTCTTGTGTGTGTGTGTGTGTGTGTGTGTGTGTGTGTGTTCCTTTGTATAGTGGAGGGTGGTTGCACACATGTTTGTGTGTATGTACAGTATGTAGGCACCGAGGGAGACTGAACTGTTGTGATGACACACTTGAGGAACAGGCCTGTCTGAAGGCTCACTCCGGTCATTGAGCT